GGAATGGCTGCATCATCTTCCTCTGTGGCCTGGTAAGGCTGCTCCCCTCTCAGGGGGAGGTGATCAAAGAGCAGGCCAATCAGATTATGTCAGAGGCAGTCCCTCTTCCCATTACTAGGTAACCCACTTGGACACTGACCTGCCATGGGCTACATCTGTGCAGGGGTTCTGGGTTATCTCCATGCATGCTACTTGGTTGGACTATCAGTCTCAGGGAAGACCATGTGCCCAGATTTTTTGGATCTGATGCTCTCCTTGAGTGAGCTATCCCAGAAGTAGAGAGACACACACGGTATATACTCACTCATATAGACATATAATATAGGATAAACCTACTAAAATCTGTACACCTAAAGAAACTAATCAAGAGGGAGGACTCTGGCTAAAATGCTCAATCCCCATCCAGAAAGGCAAAGAGGATGGACATCAGAAGAAGGAGAAAACAGGGAACAAGTTAGGAGACTGCCAGAGGGCCTCTGAAAGGCTCTGCCCTACAGACTATCAAAGCAGATGCTGAGACTTATGGGCCAACTGTTGGGCAGAGTGCAGGGCATCTTATGAAAGAAGTGGGAGTTAGTAAGACCTGGAGGGGACAGGACCTCCACAAGGAGAGTAACAGATCCAAAAAATCATTATCATTTTTTAATGTATAGATATTTTCTGTTAGGTTTCTATTTGACTTATTTCTTGAGTCTCTGGCTTGGTATAAGCAGAAAGGAAGAATGAGTTTCACAGCTCAGATTAGTCAGCAGTTGTTTTATTTAGCTTCATCGGCCTTTCAGCTTGTGAACATTCTTCTGAGATTTGGAGAATAATATTATTATTAGATTTTGATGCTATCATCAGATAGTATTTTCAAAGGTATTTCTTTTGGAAAGTGTAAGGAGCTGCATTTGCATAGCTAAGTAGCCATTATTTTAAATGGGAAATCTCTTTCTTTGGTCATTTGGAAAACCCACTGCGAATAGGAACTCAGTATGAGAAAGCACGCTGAACATCAAGAAAGCCAGGAATTTGGGGGCTCGCTCATGTACACTATCATATCCTCTGTAAATAGCAATACTTTGACATTTTCCTTCCTGGTTTGTATCCCCTTGATCTCCTTTAGTTGTCTAATTGCTGTAGCTAGAACTTCAAGTTTATATTGAAGAGGTATGGTGAGAGTGGGCAGCCTTGTCTTGTCTTTGATTTTAGTGGAATTGCTTTGAGTTTCTCTCTACTTAACAAAGATGTAGCAGATGGGCTGCTTAGGCTTCATGTGGGTCCTCTAGTAAGGGAAGTGGGGACTACGTGGGAACAGACTCACTTGCCAGCTTTTTGATCACTTCCCCCTGGCTGGACTGTCTTGCCAGGCCACAGAGAAAGAGAACACCCTCAGTCCTGATGCAACCTAATGAGCTGGGATGGATGTGAAAGGGAGCTCCCCTTTTCTGACAAAAAGAGGAGGTAGAGAAGAAGAGAGTGTGGGAGGGTGGGACTTGGAGGGGAGGAGGTATGGGGCTACAACAAGGATGTAAAGTGAATCTAAAAAAAAATGATGAAAATGGTATCAGAAATATTTACACCAAAGAACAGAGTAAAAGAAAGGAACTGTTAAGAAAGAAAGAAGAAAAAAATAAAAAAAGAAAGAAGAAAGAAAAGGAAAGAAGAAAGAGAAAAAGAAAAGAAAAGAAAAGAAAAGAAAAGAAAAGAAAAGAAAAGAA